TGTGTGTGTGTGTGTGTGTGTGTATGCATGCGCGTGCATGTGCACGTGTGCACATAGGCAATGTTTGTCTCCTTTCAGTCATGCCAAGATCTAAAGACCTCAGATTATAAAATCATCCTTTTGTCAGAAGTAAATTGGTAGGGTGGGGGAAGGGAAGAATGAAGAGAAAGATGATAACAGAAAATAAAAGTTTAACATGTCATGGGCAGAGAGACCTGAGAGATAGCGCAATAAGCGGGTCACTTGTCTAGCATGCTACTGACTAGGATTTGATCCCTGGCATGCAATCTATTATGCCATTACCAGGAGTAGTACCTGAACACAAAACCAGGAGTAAACCCCGAGAATCACCAGGTGTGGCCCAAAACAACAATAACAGCAACAAAAAGTCATGGGAAGATCCATTTTAATTGACAAACCAGCACCAAGTTAGCCTGTGAAAAACAGTTTTAATTCCAAAGAGCAGTTAATTAAATTTTATTTTAATGGGGACCTAAGCTATGGCTCTTAGGTCAAGTGTTTTTGCACTTGCTTTGCAGGTGTGAGGCCCTGGGTTCAATCCCTGACTTTGCTAAAACGAAACCAAACTAAAGAGCGTCTAATGTGGACAGAAATATAAAGCAGAAGAGCTGGAGAAATAAAACAGTAGATAAGGTTATTGCCTTGCATGAGGTTGACCTGAAGTTCTATCTCGGGTACCCCATATATATGGTCCCCAGAGTCCTGCCAGGAGTAATTCCTGAGTGCAGAGCCGGGAGAAAGCTCTGAGCATTGCTGAGTATGCCTTCCCCCTCCACCCAAGAAATATAAAGCTGAATATTCAATGCATGGGAGACAGTGCTATCTCAAAAGTTAACCCAGGGGACTGGAACAAGGACTTCTAATAGAGCCCAGGGTGTTGCTAAGGATCTCCTGTGAACTTATAAGAAATCCAGACTTTATGGCTCCAATCAGCACAACAGAAATGTGAATCTAAGTTTTAATGAGAGTCCTAGATGAATCATAAACACCTTAATGTTAGCAGAGTCCGGGCCTAGAGTTAGGGGGTGGGATCTGAAAGTGTTTCTTAGAGGAAATAAAACCCAGGTTGTATTTTGAAGATAAGTAGGGCAAACCAGGCATTGTTCCAAGCAGAGGGAATATTTGCATGAAGTTTAGTTGCATGAAAAAGCATTGAGGTGTTTTGGAAACTGCCAACAGCTTAAAATTATTTACCCAAGGAGAAAGAAGAGAGAGGAGGAGGGAGAAATGTTGGAAAATGCAGGGCAGGCAGGGGCCAGATCCTGCTCCAGGTTAAGGAGCTTTGCCTTGATGGAAATCCATGATGGAAACAGAAGATGACAAATTTAAACTTTTATTTAGATTCCTGCAGATCCAGGAAGCCTGGGAAACCAACTGAAAGCTATGGTAGTAGTTGGAGAGCATAAGATCTTGAGAGTCTTAAGTGTTGTAGAGACTTAGAGGGAGGAAAGGATAACTTGAAGACATTTTAGCAGATGAGAAACTTCATGATGGATCACGTTGGCAGTGTACAGGGGTGCTTAGTTTTTTTTCTGCAGTGGTTATAGGCTTCTGGTTGAGCGTCATGAGTGGTTGTTCACATTCATTAATAGAAATGAAAGACTAAAGGAGGAAGAGCAGGTTTGAAGAGGGAAATTACAAGTTCAGTTTCGACATGTTGCAAGCGGCCAACATGGCTGACCCTAGTTCGATTTCCCCGCCCCTCTTGGAGAGCCTGGCAAGCTACCCGTGACGTATTCAATATGCCAAACACAGTAACAATTGTCACAATGGAGATGTTACTGGGCCCGCTCCAGCAAATCTATGAACAACGGGAGGACAGTGACAGTGACAGTGCCTCAGGTGAGTAGAAGACATGAATAGAATAGAGTTGAAAAAACAAGAACAGTGTGGAGAACTTGGTGAATTGGGGAGTGTAGAGAAGGAAAGTGACAAGGAAGAAAATACCCTGCCCAGAATTAGGTGCTGCTGCTGCTGCTACTACTACGACTACTACTACTACTACTACTACTGCTATGCAGGCAGTGTTTCTTCCAGGCATATTTTCAGAGGCTGCCTTCCTGAAAAGAGATTCCTGCAGCAAGTGGTTGAATCTCAAAGAGAAGCAAATGGCTGGGTTGCAGGTCTAGAGAGAGAGAGGTCCCTGGGAGTGTCTATATTGGCAGAAAAACACTGAACCTAAACTAATCCAAAAAGGACACCAGGGGCTGGAGCAATAGCACAGCGGGTAGGGCGTTTGCCTTGCAAGCAGCCGACCTAGGTTAGATTCCCAGCATCCCATATGGTCCCCCGAGCACCGCCAGGAGTAATTCCTGAGTGCATGAACCAGGAGTAACTCCTGTGCATTGACCCCCCCCCCCCCCCAAAAAAAAAAGGACACCAAGGCCTTTGAGATACAGGGACTGTTTGAGAAGACAGAAAACTTTTAAGATACAGAATTACAGGCTCAGAACATGGCTGGACCATGGCTGGAGGAGTTGCTTCATTGTTGGAACCAAGGCCATACCAAGGATGTTAAGAGAAGATATCATAGATATAATATCCCCTAAACAGAAACATCTTTATTTGAAAAGATTTATGTACAACAATATTCATTGCAATGTTTTGTATAATACACAAGATATGGAAACAATCAAATTCCCATATGGGGATGGATGGATGGATCAAGAAGTTGTGATATATATACACAATGGAATACTATACAACTCTAAAAAGGAACAAAATCATGCAATTTGCTCTGCTGTGAATGGAGCTAGAGAATTTCATTACTGAGTTAAATAGTCACAGGGAAAGAGATAGATAAAGAATTATCTCTCTCCATTGTGGAACTTAAAGATAGACAGCAAAGTATCAACACAGGGCCAAAGAAAACAATAAAAAACCTACCTCCTGAAACTGAGTTTGTATTTGTGTGTATGTGTGTGTGTGTGTGTGTGTGTGTGTTGAAATGAATGGGCATGGAGATCTTGGGAGAGGGAGGTGGTTACACTGGTGTTGGGTGTGGTGTTAGAATTATATACATATGAAACCATCCTCAACAGACATCAACAGTGTTTTAAATTATAATACTTTGATTAATTTACAAAAGTTAAAAATAAAATAGAAAAACAAAAGAAGATCATCAATAGCTTTAAGCTTAATCTCTTGGCAAGCTGCCAAATATGGGCAAGGCATTTATTCCTTGTCATTTTCCTTCTCCTCTCTTACTGATTCAGCAAAGTCTCTAGTAATAAACTTTGGGGCAGTTTGGAAAAACTGTCTATAACCGACTTGCAGAGGAAAAGACATGCATTTGCCTGCAATTCCGCCTGAAATGTGTATCACTTTCTTTTGCCATATGGCACATTTGTCCCCTTGAAATACGCACTTTTTTTACCCTATGGGTGCTTTTGCTGACACCTTTGCTTGATATATGTACTTTTTTTCACTCTGCAGAAACCTGTGTACTTTCTTGAGCATTTATACTCTCTCTTTCACTCTTTCTCTTTTCCTCTCCTTATCTTTCATGTAAACTTTTTTTAAAGTGGTGATGGTGGACACAACTGGGATGCTCAGGGTTTATTTCCTGGCTCTGTATTCAGGATCACTCCCAGTGGGGGACAGGGGATCACATGGGGACCAGGGATAGAACCCAGGTTGACCATGTGCAAGGCAAGTGCTCACCTGCTGTACTATCTCTCTAGTCACACCATATATATATACATATATATATATATATATTTACTTCACTATTCATTCCCTGAAATTATTTTCTGTGGGGGAAGGCAATGGACATCTAAAGGCCTGGACAAGATTTAGGAATGACTTTCCTTCCCTGCAAAGAGCAATTTCTTGCTCCAGTCTGAATCCCCTGTACCCCCCCCCCCCTCAAATGGAGTGTCAGGGATCATTTCACACTATATAGAGTAAGTGGAACCCATGTGTGATTTGATGACACCTCTTGGGTCTGGTGAGATGTCAGGTCTGTACTGGGTAGGTGCTCAGAGCAGACAGACTCTCTTCAGTCCTGCATTTCCCCCAGGCACTTCTCAGGGTGATTAGGTGGGTTGAGAAGAAAGTGGTAGGTTTTCTCTGGAGGGTGCCAGTGTTTTTCCTCCCCACTTCAAATAAGCCCCAGGGGGAATCCTACTCCTCTGGTAGGAGTTACATCTTCTACCTGCAATGTTAGATTCACCATTTTCTATTCTGTGATAGACCTGGAGTTCAAACAGTTCCCGGGACAAAATGCCTAACAGCTCTTTCTCCCTCTTACTCTGTGAGTGGATAACTTTGTTCACCTTACCCAATCCTATCCTCAAAGTGATCGTACAATATGTATGTATGTGTGCGTGTGTGTGTTCCTTTAAGTTCATGAAAAAAAAATGGCACAAATCTTCCATCTTTGAATCTTTTTAACATTTTAATTTTGCAGCGTAAGCTTCAGAACTGGAGAACGGCTAAGTTCTTGGACTCTTGGGTCATTTCCCATAATCGATTACTATTCAGCAGTCCCTTTTCCTCCATTACACAGAGGTCTAGCAAAACCCAGGACTTGCGCGTCTCCGCGGCAGCAACTCCGTGAAGCGCTCCGCGTTTTCTGATCAGTCATCCGCAGCCCTTGTAAGCAAAAGGTCGGCACGTGGAGTTGGGGCAGGAAGAAGCTGTTCCGAGCCTGGCCGTTCGCTCCTGCCAGGATCAAACATGGCGGGCCACAGTCAGCCTACCCGGAGACTCTTTTTCCCGCAATCTAGCCCCTCTTTGGCGCTTTTTAATTTTTTCAATCAAATCAAAACAAGACAAAACGAAAAACACTTCACTTCCACGGCAGGATACTCTACGTAGGGGAAGGGGACAGTCAAACCCGTCCGGAAACCTGACGGTGGTCCCCCCTCTTCCCGCCTCCACCCCCCCCCGCCTCCCGCGAAGGCCCGCCCACCAGGTCACGCCAGCCAATCGCAGGCCGCGCTGTGGCGTCTGGCAACGCGGGCTGGCCCCGCCCCCAGTCTCTCCTTGGCCTGCGGCTCCGGGGCCGGTAGCGTCGCTCTCCGTTGCTCCCTCGCGTGTGTTGACCTCGCGGCTCTTGGGCCCTTTCCGTAGGCCGTCACTCAAGCCCTGCGCCGTCGAGGCCGTGGGCCCCGAGACTCCGCCATGGACTTCGAGGACGGTGAGTGCCGCGTATGGCGGGAGGCCGCGGCGGGGCAGTCTGCGCCGGGGGTCTGTTTACCGTCTCAAGATGGCCGTGTGCGCTTTGTTCTGTGGGCCCGGAGGCCGCCGCAGGCCCCGCGCGCCCCGACGCCGCCCGCCCGGCCGTGGCCGTGGCCGTGGCCGCAACCGGGCCGAGGCCCTGGAGTTGTGTGTGTGCTGGGGAGGGGGGTGAGGGAAAGTGCCGGGCTCGGGGATAGAGGAGGGAGCGCGGCGCGGCGGCCTCGGGACTGGGGCCTGTGAGACTCGCCGGGGGCCCCAGCGCTCGGAGAGTCGCCCCGACGCCACCCGCTTCCGGCTTTCGCGCCCTGGAGCCGACGGTCGCCCGCCTGCGCCTCCACCCCGGGGCAGGCCTGCTCCTCACGAGCCGCGGCGCCCGGCGTTGGGTCGGGGAGGTGGGGCGGAGGGTGTGTGTGTGTGTGGCGGGGGGTCGTCCGTAGTTTTCCGTTGCGTTAACATTAGGGCGTCGCTGAGCGGTTCTCCGTGCGACTCCGTCGTGCAGAACCGGCAGTGAGGAGCGAGTTCGAGTTCAGATTGGCCGACCGGTCCAGTCACCCCCCTCCTTCCGCCCAGGAAAATGCCCGCGTCTTTGATCCCTGATTGCAAGTTCTCCCGAAAGGGAAGAGGTGGCTACACCCCATTGACTCAAACACCTCCCCCCACCCCCAGCTCCCTGCATCGACCTCGATGGGAGCTGGCACCCCCCCGCCCCTCCCTCCCCACCTTCCTACCTTCCCACCTTCCTACCTTCCTTTATCCCTACCTCTCCTGTCCAAAATTGAGATCTGGGCGCCGGTGCCCAGCCCGGGTTTACTGGGCCGCCTGCCTGCCTGCCTGCCTGCCTGCCTGCCAGGCCTTACCGGTTCCCGAAGCGCGTTTCCACTCACGTGCACGCAGATCCGATGGAAGCGAGGCCCGGCCTGGTCTTTTAGGGACCCTGCGTGGTCCGCCCTGAACTAGGAAGCAGTGGCAGCCCCAGATGGGGGAGGGTTTAGGGAGAGGCATTTGAATGATCTATCGGCCCAGGTTTGATCCTCAGGAGCCCAGGGAGGGGGGAGTCAATGCTGGCAAATTATTTGGCCGTGGACTCTTTCCACCGTGCTATCTCGACCCGCGAGTCTTGCAAAAAAAAAAAAAAAAAGGTCTTCTGGCCTTGGATTTCATCCGCCCAAACTTAGCAATGCCGCTCCCAAGTTCGTGCAAGGGAACCGGAATAGGCCTATTGTGGAGAAGAGGTTCAGTTCCTAACGGTACACACTGGTGGTGCTTTTGTTGGTTTTTGGTTGTACTTTATATACTTTAAAAAAAAATCCTCTGTTCTGATGGAGATAGCTTTAATCTCAGAATATTTGAAGAGGCCAGCGTTGGTAGTTAAATTAAAAATTACATTTTGATTTTGTTTATTTGATCCCCAGATTTAATGACAGTGGTTGCCAGGCATGTGAGCTCTAGCAAATAAGGTGGAGGTGCTTGGGAGCATAGGCAAATCTTGCCTCCCCCTGATGGGACTCATTTTGTATAGAAAAGTTAAAAAACAAGTAACATAATCCAAACAACCAGGTTTGTTTGCTTTTGGGTAATCACTCTGTGCCTACAATTCTAAACTTCAATAATAAAATTCTAAGCAGGGCCAGGGATAAAATATACTCGCTTACTTGGCTGCATCCCCACTGCTATATTTAGGGGATGGAATTTGACTAACATATCTGATTCAGATTTTGTGTAGTGTATCTGGGTTCCTGTTGTCAACGAGTGAAAATTGTATTAAAATCTTTTCAGTATTTATTTTTAAGGTTAAAGCATCTTTTGCCCATAAACTTAGTTGTTAAGGAAATTGCCAATGTGGTTTCAGTGTTGCACATTCTGGATTGATAAAAACAGAAATACAAGTAGCATTTCATGTATGCTTTCTCAGAGAAGATCTTGAATTTAAACAGCAAATAATTTGAAAAAAGTGACAATATCAACTCATACTTTTGCATTATTTGATATATATAATTACTTGCTTTCCCTTTTATTGCACCATATAAATGAGTATGGTTTCCCTCTTTGTATACGTGTTAGGAACTAATTTTCACATTAGCCTGAACGATAACCCGCATATATAGGGAGATGGGTAAAAAGAATGTTTTCCCCAATGAAGTATTAATTATTACTTATACCCTGTTTTGCAAGTAATTGAACTAATGACATTTTCAGTTGCATTTGCTTTAAGTATGTAATTTCAGGTTTTTGCTGATGAACTAATTCCTTTTTGTTAAATGTTTTCATAGATTATACACACTCTGCTTGCAGGAATACTTTTCAGGGTTTTAATGGTGAGTATCATTCTCTTTCATTGATTCTTAAACCTTTCAAGGGAATGCATTTCAATTTTTCTCTTTATGAAAAGTACAGATGTGAAAAGACACTCTAATGTATTATTTCTTAGTGGTTAATATTGACATACTGTACATAGTCTTTGAATTAAAAGAGTTTAGATTAAGTGTTTTATTTGAATTATGATTCCTTAGTTTTTCAAAAGGTCTACACTACATTTTTGGTGATGATTTAAAAGAGCAGTTATTTTTACTGAATTAGGTAGATGGTCTTGAGTAATGTATATTGCTTCTGTATTGTAATGTATTTTAACTTTGTTTTTGCTTCGTGTTTCCAAATATATAAAGATATATCTAGAGGAGTGTAGGAAAAAGCCTGATAGTATATTAACATAAAAAATATGTTTTAGAGTTTTAACTACACAGCTAGATAAAATCATGAGAGGTACTTAGAATATAATTGTCTGCCATTTTGATAGTTAGGAGTTAAGACCTGCTAAATAGAATAGCACAAAAAAAGAACATGGAGCAATTCAAAGAAGCATTCATGGGGCTCAGGGCCTTATGTCTGTGATAAAGCACATGCTTTGCATACTTGAGCTCTGGGTTTCTTCCCTGGCTTCCTTACCTTACCTCCCCAATGCCTCTTCAAATAAAACAGAAGCATGATTTAGAGGATATCCGGAAGTAGAATTTAAATATACTGATCACCAGACAAAGCAACATTCACTTATTGTATAGAATGTCATATGTTTTAAAAACAAAACTAAAGCAGATGTACTAGTAAAGACCATGCTGTTTTATGGAAATTATTGCAGTCCTGTGTCTACTATCTACTTGTCATTTCTTAAAATTGGAAAATTTTATGTTTATTGTGGACAGAGAGTCTATAGCATATAGTAAATAGTCCATAGGATGCAGAAGAATATTTTTGAGCAGGAAAGTGACATAATAAAATATCAAAAGGAAGTTTAATTTGCGAAGGTTAAATTTGATAATTGGAAAAATAACTAGAAAGACACTTCATAAATTTAGATGTGAGGATTTTAATACAAATATTATTTTTAAGATTTCCTTCCTTTTTTTTTTTTTTTTTACACTTTTTGGGTCACACCCAGCGATGCTCAGGGATATTATTCCTGGCTCTGCATTCAGGAATTACTGCTGGGGGTCCATACGGGATGCTGGGAATTGGAACCCAGGTCAGCCGTGTGCAAGGCAAACACCCTACCCACTGGGTTATCGCTCCGGCCCCAAAACATTAAGATTTCTTTTAAAGTCAAAATTGGTGATGCGTAGAATAGAAATTATAGTGAATTTAGGATTTTAAAGTGGAGTGTGACTGTATCAAATGTTACCAGTGAGGGAGATTTGAAATAATAGAAGGCCAGGATTTACTAGAGAGTTTTAATGTCTAAGTATAGGACTTTCAAAGGCAGAATCCCACAGGACCAGAAGTTAATTTTCTTACTAATGTTCACTGTATAAAGATCTCAGAAATTTCTATCACTTTAGTTTTAGCAGAAGTCCTCATCGAAGACTAGTTGTCACACTGCCCTGGGGAACTTTTTTCAGAGCACATCTGAAAAAAGTTCATTGTTTATTCCTCTTACAGACTGAATTTTAGGACAAGTGGTCCTGGCTGTATAAACTGTGAGAAGTATTTTAATGATTTTGAAATGTACCTCTGGTTAGATCTGTTCAACAATACTTTGCTTTTTTGTTGTTGTTGTTTTTTTTGCTTTTTGGGTCACACCCAGCAATGCTTAGGGCTTACTCCTGGCTCTCGCTCAGGAATTACTCCTGGTGGTGCTCGGGGGACCGTATGGGATGCCAGGGATTGAACCCTGGTCGGCCACATGCAAGGCAAGCACCCAACCCGCAATGCTATCGCTCTGGCTCCTGTTCAACAACACTTTGAAGTCTGTGTTGTCTATCTTATAAATGAAGAACTTTTAGGGTTTTCTTAATTTATTCAGTGGGTATATATTAAATGAGTGCTGTGTATGAAATGTTCAGGAGCTGGCAATACAGTAATGAACAAAATTAACATTGCTGTTTTGTACTTCTAGTCTAGCGGGGTGATTCAGATAGTAAACTAGATAAAGAAGTAGCATATATTATGTTAGCTGCAACTCAGGAAAGGTTGATTTGTCGCTTTTTTTTTTCTTGCTTTTTGGGTCACACCCAGCAATGCACAGGGGTTATTCCTGGCTCTGCACTCAGGAATTACTCCTGGCGGCACTCAGGGGACCATGTGGGATGCTGGTAATTGAACTCAGGTCAGCCGCGTGCAAGGCAAACGCCCTACCCGCTGTGCTTTTTAAGAAAATAGCTAGGAAAGGATTCTCTAAAAAGGAGAAGTTTGCACAGTGGTGCAAGGTAGATGAGAACACAAGCCCTGGGACTTCCTGGAGGCAGCATAGGTAACTCATTGTTAGCATTGTATTTTCTAGGGACAGAAATGAAGTAGAAGTAGTATTATAAAACATATCCTAAGGTGTTGATTTCCTCCACACCATTTTCGAGAAGTATGTTGTATATCCAGTGTCTTTGTGTTTACTTTTGCTTCATAGCTTCCTTAAAGAAGAAACCGATAATAAAAGGAGAAAGGGGGAGATAGTAGTACAGTGAATAGGGTGCTTACATTACACGTAGCTGACCCAGGTTTGATCTTCTACAACTTACATGGTCCTGTGAGCCCTCCAGGAGTCATCTCTGAGCAGTGAGTCCTGCCAGGTGTGGCCTGAAACCCAAACATCATATTTTTGAATTAATATTTTTGTGTGCTAATAAGTGATTTGAAATGGAGGTTTACTGATTATCATAGTTTTAAGGAATCTTTGTATCATGTATAATTCTTTATTAAAGTAAGGGTTACTGAGTTATTTAGATTTTCCAACTATTGATACGTAAGCTTAAAAGTTTCTAAAATACCTTTCCTGACAAAACTGACAGTATGATTTTTCCTATGGAAAAATCATTTCGTATGGAAAATCATACTGTCAGTTTTGTCAGGAAAGGTATTTAGAAACTTTTAAGCTTAGGTGGTAGATGGAAGTTTTATAAAATTCTGAATTGGTCACAAAATGTATCACTTGCTTTATTCCTTGAAATTTATTCTATTCTCATTTATTTATTTTTGCTTTTTGGGTCACACCCGGCGATGCACGGGAGTTACTCCTGGTTCAATGCACTCAGGAATTAATTACTCCTGACGGTGCTTGGGGACCATATGGGATGCTGGGAATCGAACCGAACCTAGGTCGGAACCTAGGTCGGCTGCGTGCAAGGCAAACGCCCTACCTGCTGTGCTATTGTTTCAGCCCCTCTGTTTTATTTTTGACATTTAAAGTGTCTACTAGAGGCCCACTTTGGAAAGCCATGTTTTATTTTTTGTAAAACAAATTTCTTACTTTTTGTTTTTGGGAGGGAGCATACCTGGTGGTACTCAGGGCTTACTCCTTTCTCTGTTCGGTATTTCTTTCTGCATGGCTCAGAGGACTATATGGGGTGCCTTGGGTTGAGCCTGTTGGCCATGTGTAAGGCAAGCACCCTACCTGCAGTATTATCACTCTGGCCCAAGCATGGCTTTTGAATGTTACTTTTCTCTTGTGAAAATCATTCCTTGTAAAAAGTGGCTAATTTAGTTCGCTGAATTCTTTTACACAAGATTTTCCTGGAGAGAAATACTTGGGAATGCAGTAAAATAAATTTTTGTGTACTTCTAGTCATTAAAATATTAATCAAAATCTTGATTTATTGCAATTACTAATTCATGATTTAATAAAGTGACTTAATTCTTACTGTTTCAAAGGCTACTTTTTAATCTGAAGACAATGTTTTTATTTTACAAATTTTCTTTTTCATTACAAGTGTTCTGTGTTGTAAACTACAATGACTACAAGTACAGTGTGGTACCACTGCATTAATTTGTGTTAACAGCAATTTTTCTCTGTACTGGTTTTCCCCTTCTATCTTCACTGTAAAAAACACGGTAAAAGGCTTATGTCTTGATATTATTTGTGAAAACAGTTTGATCAACTGTTTGAAAAGCTGCTATCTGAGGGTCTACAAAAAAATAAGAAAAAACCAAAACCCAACCTCAAGATTTATTTATATATATATACACATACATACATATATATATGTATATATATATATGATGAGCTTACAAAGAGCAGAATATAAGGAGACTACAAATACCACACTAGATGCTACAGACTGAAGATTCAGAAGAAAGGATAATCAGCTGAGACAGTAATAATGAAAATTTTCTTTTGGGACCAGGGAGATATACAGAGACTGAGTACTACAAATCCTGTTTGATCACATGATCCTCTGAATACTGCTGTGATCCCATAACCCCCCCCCCCCCAAGTTGTTTTCTTTTTCCGTGGGGGTGGGGGTGGGGGTTTCAGTGCACAGGACCTACTACTGACTCTCATTGGGCTCTAGGGACCATAGTGGTATCAGGAATTGAATCAGGTTTGGTCACAGACAGGGTAAGCAGCTTAATGTCTCTGTACTCTCTCTGACACCCAAAAGTGGTTCTTGAAAAGAGAATTTAAGTGGACTTAAAACATTCAAAAGATTCTGTAGTAGGTATTTGGGATGGGAGAGGAGAAGGCAGCAAACAGTTTGAGGCTAGAGAACTATTTGTGTGACTTAGAAAAAAAATAATTATTTCGGCTTGAATTATATGAGAAGATGGAGTTTGATCATTTAGGTTGTTTCTAGGTATAAAGTTGCAAGATTCTAAGTATTTCTTTTCATTTGTTTTGGGGAGGCCACACCTAGCTATGCTAAGAGCTTATGCCTGACTTTGCTCAAGGATCACACCTGGAGGGCTCAGGATACCATATGGGTGCTGGGGATGGAATCCGGGTCTGCTGCATGCAAAGCAATCTGCTGTACTAATACCACTCCCGCCCACTGAGTAGTATTTTTATAAAATTGTTGCTGTCGTCCTCATCATTACTAGTGTTAGGACCAGGAACATATAATGGTTGTAACTAAAATTTAATGTTTTATAAAACGTGAATGAAGAAATTTGCACTTTATATACTGTTGCATAGTACATCAAATTCAAGAGTGTCGTAATGTAGAACTTTATAAGAAAGTATTCAAGGAGCTAAAAGTTTTTGGCCAGGGCACTCCTAGCAGCGCTCAGGAAACCGGTGCCCCCACTCAAAGGTTGATGCAGAGTATGGGATTTAGCCCTTTAAACTCTATGTTCTTTTAAGCCCAACCCATTAAATTTTCTCCCTTTTTTATAAATAGTAAATTAATAAATTCATTATCGCTTAGTTTTTGTTTCATTTCAGAGGTTGGGATGTAGGCAGAATTGCATCATGATAAAATATGCTTGGAAAACTTAATTCAGAATTTACTGTTAGATTTCATGTTCTCTTCTCTTTATTAAAAGTATTTGAGGATTTAATATTTGATGAGAAATTATTTCATCAGTCTTCCTAGTAACTGATTGATCCCATTCTGACTTTTTTTTTTTTTTTTTTTTTTTTTGGTTTTTGGGTCACACCCGGCGATGCTCAGGGGTTACTCCTGGCTCATGCACTCAGGAATTGCTCCTGGCGGTGCTCGGGGGACCATATGGGGTGCTGGGAATCGAACCTGTGTCGGTCATGTTGGCTGCGTGCAAGGCAAACGCCCTACCCGCTATGCTATCGGTCCAGCCCCGACTTTTGTTTTAAAAATAGACTTTAGGGGGTTGGAGCAATAGCACAGCGGGTAGGGCGTTTGCCTTGCACGTGGCTGACCCGGGTTCGATTCCCAGCATCCCATATGAGCCCCTGAGCACTGCCAGGGTAATTCCTGCACGCAGAGCCAGGAGTAACCCAGGTGCATCGCTGGGTGTGACCCAAAAAGCAAAAAATAAAAATAGACTTTATTATGTAAAACAATTGAAATTAGGCTGATTAAAATAGGACTATTTTAGAGTTTGTTATATTTTAATATCATGGGAAACTAAAACAGAATCCTTTCTTCCCCCACCCCCACTTTTGTTTTTGGGCCACACCAACCATATTCATACTGGGCTATGCGTTCGGAAATCACTCCTGGTAGGCTCAGAGGATCCTATAGTGTGCTGAGGATCAAACCCAGGTTAGCTATGTGCAAGGCAAATGCCCTACCTCCTGTACTATCTTTGTCCCCTCAGAAATTTTCTTTTTGACATTAAATGCTGACTTTCCTTAAGGATAGAAATTATGTACTTATGATAACCTAATAAAGATTATTTATTAGTATTTATTAGTCAAATAAATATTGGTTGAATGAAAAATGGCTTTGATACAGATCTTTTAAGTATATTTTATTAATTGGACCTTCCCACCAGTGGTTGGGTTTTGGAGATTATCACCTGTGATACTGGAACTATTAGAGAGTGGTTCCGACCTTTGGTGCTCTGCTCTGTCGTTCAGTACTGTTGTGGCATTTGGCAGTGCTAGGGGTCACTGTGGCTTTTGTAGAAGTAACCAGGGGCCATCAGGGCTATGATAGTGGTCTATTTGGGGTCAGCAGTCAAACTGGGGTCTTGAGCTTGTCTGGCATATGTACATTCAACCTCTTTTTTGCATCTTGGGCTATACCTGACAGTACCTGGGGTCTGTTTCTGGCTTTTGACACAGTTCCAGGAATGAAACCTGCGGCTCTTTGCCAGCAAAATATGCATGCACTCCAGTCCTTTGAGCTATTTTCTATTCCCTATGCTACAGAACTTTTTAATATTTTTCTTTGAAATATTAGGGATCCTTTACAAATTGAGTTTTATTTATTAGATACTAGTTTCCTTCGCTGTTTTATGTGTGATTAGCTTAAATACTTAATGTTAAATTGTTGTTTTCATTGATGTGAATAGCTTGTATTTGATGCATATTCCTGAAGACAGTGGTATATTTTACTGACCTTTTATGTTGGTTATCTTTTAGGAATGGATCGTGATTATGGCCCTGGATCTTATGGAGGTCTGACATTCAAGGATATTTATCTAAAAATTCTTCTTTTGAGTGCCAGTAAAGGTGAGCATCTTTTAATTGTTTTCTTTTTAAACTTTTTATAGGGATGGATCGTGACTATGGCCATGGATCCTATGGGGGTCAAAGATCCATGGACTCCTACCTAAACCAGTCATATGGCATGGACAATCACAGTGGTGGTGGTGGGGGTAGCAGGTAAATTGCTCAATAACTTGGCCAAATAGTTAGACAAATGTAAAATTCTGCATATTTTAATTGAAGTATTTTCTTAAGGCATGTTATGATTCTTGAATGTCACTGTTACTGAATAATCACTGTATGTCTAAAAGTGTCAGTGCTTTTAAAAATGATCTCAGGGTCTCTGGCAGATAATATTTTTTGAAAGCTTCAGTTATTATCTTTCCTCACATTTTTTTCTATCTTTAGCATTGAACCTTTAAATTTATTTTTACTTTTATTTCCACTTTCACATATCAGTTACAATGACCTAAAAAAGATTGTTTAAAACTGTTTTCAGAAATGTTATTTGTGAAGCTTTTTCTTAATGATTTTTAAAAAAATCTTTGTACAGCAGCAAAGTAATCTATGATTGGATAGGGTTTAACTGAACCAGAGTAGCAACATTTAATGTAAGGAACATTTAAGATAGTCTTTTAATTTTTAAGTAGTTTATTTAAAATACATTTAATGATTATAAAAAATAATCTTTAAATCATATATAGGATAGTTATTGGCAGTTAGTACTAAGACTAAAAACACTGGGGGTGGTGTCTGGACTACCAGCATTATATTAGAGCTTCAAATACTATACTTCCGCTAAATATTTTAATAAAGTTTAGATTGTGTTTTCATTCATTGTTGATACTCCATAAAGCTTGAACTTAGCTCAGCGACTCCATTTTTAGGGTTGATGACATACAGGCAGTTGGTCTACTTTTTCAGACACTTAAACTGAAGATAAAGTTAGTAAATATTTATTTGAAACAATCATTTTTCATAAATGGAAGGATTCTGTTTTCTAAAGGATTGATTGATGCTTTCTTTCTGCTTCAAGAGTGCCACTGTGTTTTATACTAGAAAAGAAATTAAGAAAATGCACCATTAGAATATTATTGTTGATGTGATAAATGTTTTGATTAATTTAGCTAGAAAGAGGAGTGTTTTTTTTTTAATAATTACTAGGATTCAAAGTAATACCTTCTATTTAGTATTCTGTAAAGTAATTTAACGCGCAAATGTTTTACTATGTTAGTTACTGCCCTATCACATTGTAATATATCTTAAACTATGTAGATGTTATTGTTTAACTTGTGTAATTTTGGGCCTTTATGAAAACTATGTTGTAAGGTTTCAAACAACTTTTTTATAATTTATACTTTGTGAGAATTAGTATGATTAGTTTTTCCTGTTGGCTATTAGAACCTTGAGGAGCCTGTGTGCTCCCTTTTTAGAATAGTTTATGTGATTATTTTCTGCCAGGTGATAATTAAGTGACTGATAACAATATACAATGTATTCTCATAAGCCTTGAGTATTCATATGCAAAGATTATATGTTGGTGGTGTTTTTACTCTTATGTTCTAGTTTATGTGCTTATCTTTCTAGAATTATTAGTTTTACTAGTTGACAAATAAAGTCACTGACGCTTGCTTATTGAGACCGTAGTTGAAGTTTGGCAGATTGTCAAATTTTACGATAGATGTTTCTACAAATTTTGACTACTACAGACACAAGCAGTTTTGTGATATAGATTATTGGGGTGAATAAGGATCTCTTCTGTGTCACAAATAGCCTTCCTCTGTGTAGTCTTCAATTTGTGTCTTTATTGAAAGCAAAAATAATGTAAATGTTCTGTATTTTTCAATATTAGGGATGAATGCAAAGAAAGTTGAATAGTTTGTGAACTTTAGAAAATGCCTTTTTCCAAGACTAGGGCTGGGCTTAAATAATAACAGATAAATACTTTAATAGAAAAGCTGCTAAAACACATTTTGAAGCTAAGGTTTTCTTAATTCATATTTAAAAATTGACTCAGATAGCTTTCTATCTAGTCTCGTGTTGAACTGCCCAGCCCTAATCAAGTGAGAACAAAAGTAGAACTGTGCAAACCAGTATGGTATAAATGAATTTTAGTTGATAAATGTCATCTGATAATTTGTCTTTTGAATTGTCTAACATTAGTAAGCTTACTTTTGTTTTTTCCCTCACTGTGCAACTTTTCCAGGTTTGGACCTTATGAGTCTTACGACTCCAGGTCTTCTCTGGGTGGGCGAGATCTGTACAGATCTGGCTATGGTTTTAATGAACCCGAACAAAGCCGCTTCGGAGGTAGTTATGGTGGTCGATTTGAGAGCTCCTACCGGAATAGCCTTGACTCTTTCGGAGGTAGAAACCAGGGCGGGTCTAGCTGGGAAGCACCTTACTCCCGTTCAAAATTGAGGCCTGGGTTTATGGAGGACAGAGGAAGAGAGAATTACTCTTCCTACAGCAGTTTTTCTTCACCCCATATGAAGCCTGCACCTGTAGGCTCTCGGGGGAGAGGAACGCCTGCTTATCCTGAAAGTACGTTTGGAAGCAGAAACTATGATGCTTTTGGAGGACCATCAACAGGCAGAGGCCGAGGCCGAGGAGTAAGTACAACAGAATCTTTTCAGATTCTTTTCACTAGTCACTCTTTTAAACCCTTTCAAGACCATGGTTTTTAACTAGAGTAAACACTGTTCATCCCAGTGTATTTTGAAGCAGAAGCTGAGTTAATAAGTGTAATTTTTAGGTTGACTGTAAGAGTTTTTTCCAGCACTTCAGAAAATAAATAGTGTCAGATGATTGTTCATAGTTTTGTCCAATCTCCCTTTATTAAAAGGTGAGGATATTAGGTTTGGTCTAAAAGGGGTTAAAAGGAGTTGCATTTTTCCCACTAGCAGTTTTGCTGGTGGGACAGTCTTGGATTATTCTAAAGGTTAACAACCCTTTGGAGTTTTGGAGTAGGTTAAAGGTGCAATGTATGATAAAATGTTTATGTTTGCTACAAAACTCCTAACCCATAGAGTTTCCTTAGAGCCCCATATTTCACAGCAAACACAAGAGACTATGGATCTGGTGATTAGAATAGTTTAGCTTTGTAAACATAGGAAGTGAGGAAGTTGTTATGTGTGAGTTGTAGAAATATTTGTAATCTATACACATTTGCTAAATCACTGTTAGATATGTCTTTTTACTGGGTGTTCTATTTCTGTGTCTCTAATTTATTGAGAAATCTCATTTGTACACACATGATTATAGCTCCTTCCTAAGAATAGTTTTTGCCTAAATGGGTAAATATGCTAGTCTTCAAATGTCTTCATTTCAGAATGAGTTCTTAGATAGCTTGACTGCCTTGAAGGTGCGGTCATTGTATACATTTGAACATATAAAAAGCACTGTATTTTTGCTGTAATTTAAAGAATGTTTTTTAAAGTGAGTTCTTAATACACTTCTTGCAGATCACAATACCCTTTACCAAAAAAATATGTCACAGATTTTTGACTATATCAGCATAGTTGATTCTACTTGTATAGAAATTTTACATTTATAAGTTTTTCTTTGTAAAATGCATTGCACCTTTAATGGTTAATTAATGAAGATTTTTCTGGTATGACTATAAATAAATTACCTAGAAACAAGAGTAGATAGATATTCCTATGCATTATACACATACATACATACATACATACGTAAGCAACTGATATGTTGCTATTCCACCATGCTTGATGATTATAGGTTAAGTGAAAACTGGTGAAATAGAAGGCTTTTGGTTTTGAGATTGAAATATTCAAGTTTGGAAATTTGGAGAATTTTTCTATGGTGTATTTTAGGTAAATGATTTTTTTCTTAACGAGACTTCAGTTATCAGTTTTAGTTTCATAGTAGTGAAACAGGTATTTCTGCACTTGGTAGGACCATTGTAGTCTGAATAGACCTTGCTTTCTTTTCTCTTGAATAAATTAGATTGAATAATAAGAGGGATCTTTTTTAAATCTTCGCTTGTACAATTCCCATTGGATTCTTCTCTTCAGATTGCTCCTCAATCTTATCTTCTAAAATTAAGGTTAGCGCAGTAAATTTCTACAGAGATGTGACCTTTTGGTGTAGTGGATTTTGCATGTGACAAGAGAGGAAGGGACGTAAAGAGTCCTTTGGTTGTATGACTCTTCAACTTAAACTTTTCTTTCTTGGGCTTCTGGGTCAAAATACGTATCTCTAGGTAAGAATGTGAATGGAACGTCAGATGCAATTCTTTATCTGAAGTGTGTCTTGGAAGTTGATGCATAGTTATGCTTTAACTCTCCTATTTCATACTAATGTTCCATCTCGCTTTCTCATTCCCTTTTTCAACAGAGAGCAATCCTAAATGATTTCTGTTTTTTGGTTTTTCTTTTTTTTCTTTTTTTTTTTCCACTTCATTCTTCAAATATGGTCTGATTGTGTATTTTGGTTTAAAGCCAGGATTTAGTGAAATACAGATTTCTTTTAAGGTCTTTTCGTGGGAAAACATCAATTAGGAACTCTGAAGAGGAGTTGTCAGAGAGTTGTACAAGTGGTAATATTCTGACAGGCACATACGTTATTTGTGATCTCAAGTAATTTTAATTGTAAAAATAAGATAGGAAATAACCCTCATTCTACTGGAAATAAAAATACCCACTGGATTCGAGTTCATGTAATAACTGATAAAGTTTTTCAGTATGTTTATTCAGAATGGACATGTAAAATTCAGTTAAATTTTGGGGAATTTTCAGGTGAAAATTAGATAACAAGTTTTATGTGAATTTATACCTTATTTTTGGATTTTATGCTAATGTTTATTGATTTCACAAATTTGCAGCATATGAGTGATTTTGGAAGCATTCATAGACCCGGAATTGTTGTTGACTATCAAAACAAACCCACCAATGTGACAGTTGCTGCTGCAAGAGGAATAAAGAGAAAAATCATACAGCCATTTAATAAACCGGGAGGAACCTTTATCAAGAAACCCAAGCTAGCCAAGCCCGCGGAGAAGACAACTCCCAGCAAATCACCCAGTAAGTAAAAATGAAAAAGTTGCAGTGTTTCTTTTTAGTAATGTATATTTTAAAAAGGAGCATGATAATTAGTTATATATAGTAGATCTTTGAATCTCCTTGAACATTATCAATTAGCCATCAACATCAAAGTTAACCAGATACTTTAAAAATGCATATGCCCTGGCTTGTCTATGTTTCTCTCCTAAATCCATCAGGGCAGGATACAACCAGCACATCTGTGTTTTAAAAAGGGCTTTTGCACGTGATTTTGGTTACATGTACTTCATGGGTGTTATATTGTTCGAGGTATTATTGAGGAAGTAGTATTTCACATATGTAGATTCTCTTATGAGAACAAAGGGAAATTTTTTTGTGTGTGTGGTCTTTGGTACCAGGGAAAGATGTTTCTTTTAGAAAATAATTTTATTATTGTAGATACCGTAATTTTTTGTCACTGTCTGTCACTTGTTCATCGATTTGCTCGAGTGGGCACAGTAACGTTGTGAGACTTGTTACTGTTCTTGGTGTATCAAATACATCACGGGTAGCTTGCTAGGCTTTGCCGTGCGGGAGAGATGTTCTCGGTAGCTTGCCTGCCTCTTCCAAGAGGGGCGGAGGAATCAAACTCACTTGGCCATTGTTGGCTTGCATGCAAGGTAAACGCCCCCCACTGTGCTATCGCTCCAGCACGGTAATTTTAGAGGTAATTATATTTTATAATTATAATTTTAGAGATAATTATATTTCTTTGAACATGGGTTGGCCACTTGCAAGCCCTACCTGCTATGCTGTTGTTCCCCCAGATCTGTGCCACACTTGGCTGTGCTCAGGGCTTAACTGTGGGTTCTGCACTTGGGAATCAGTCCCACCCCAGCCTACCTTGGGCACCATATGGGGTGCCAGGAATTAAATTGAGATTAGTCTCATGTAGGGCAAACACCTTTCCCACTCTATTATCTCACTAGCAAGATAACCATATTTCTATAAGAGTGTTTAATTTATGATCCACATTTAGAAGGCCAAATAGAAATAAATGTAGCAGAAATGTAGAACTTGTGCTCTGAAGACTGAAAGAAATGGTTAAAAGATATAAATCAGTAGAAAAACTAAATGTCTATAGATCAAAGAAGTTAACATTGTCAAGGTGACAATAATCTCCCGACAGATTAAGTATCTAGTGGATTCACAGCAAAATTCCACAATTTCTTTGCAGAAATTGACAAAATGATTCTTAAATCCATATGAATTACAAGGGACTTAGAATGACCAAAACAGTCCCCAGAAGAGCAAAATAGAACAGCTCGTATGTGACTAGAACTTGCTCTAGTGCAGTGGTAGATCTAATGGATTACCAAGGATTGAACCTGGGTTGGCCACTTGCAAGCCCTTCCTGCTATACTGTTGTTCCCCCAGAGTTTCAGTTTTTTAATAGTTTTAAAAACAAGATCTACTGATATTGTAATAGACTAGTGCATTCCTTTGATGCTATAGGTGCTGACCACGTCCTTAAATATCTTAAAATAGAGGGATTAGGAAAAGGAAAAAGGAAAGATGAGTACAAGTTCAAATAGTAGTTGTTATATGTTTTTAGATTCTGATAGTATTTTTGTGTTGTTTCATTTGTATTGCTAAAGGATAGTTGCTGGTATCCCATTTTAAAGTGGATTGTAATAATTGTTAATAATTGTAAACTAGAGGCAGAGAGATGAACAGGAGATAAAGAACTTGCTTGGTATGCTACTTGGATTGAACCCTGTTCAGTCCTTAGCACCACAATGGTTCCCTGAGCACTGCCAGGCATTACTCCTGAGCACAGAGCCAGAAACAGTCCATGAATACTTCTGGTTGTGGCCTGAAATCCGAGGCAAAATAGCAGAAATAGCAAACTAGCATTTAAAAGATTTTTACAATACTACATACCACATTATAACCACATTATAATGCATAATCTTTCAAATTGTGTATGTGTTTTAAACAAAGGTTAAATAATTTAATTTTTTCTGTGAGTAGGGTCCAGTATTAAACCTAGGGCCTCAAGCATGTGAGTCTGCTCTTATTTCTAACCACATGCATCCCTATGCCAAGGAATATTCTTTAGAACTTTTTGATCTCTTTTCTCCATTCCTTTTGTTACTGTTGTTGATGGCCAGAGTCACACAATTTAATTGCCATTGTTCACACAATAGGAGATCACAATCTTTTTTTTTGCAGTGAAAGGAGTCACAAAAGGTGATGCTTCCTGGATCACAATAGGCATGTAACAAGGATTGAATTCACTGTCTTACACATGCAAAGCAAGCACTGTATTTGGTCTTTATATAGTTCATTTAGCATAACAATATCCTGAATTATGGAAACCTGATCCTAAATTAGTGTTTTGGTACCTTTTTACTGTGCTAATTGTTTATAACTTAATCAGATTTTGTACTCCATATTACAGAGTAGGCAATTTAGTTGAGTCATTTGAAACACATTTCAAAGACTTATTTTGCAAGTATAGTTAAGTATTACAAGGTCTGATGTGTAAAATTGTCTTTGAGACAGAGATGAGATCCAATTTGGGGAGCAACACTTGAAAATAATATAGTATGAATGTAGAGTGAAAACAAAATTCTTTGGTTTGATAAAGAGGTAGGTAGTAGTATTGTGGTAAAGGCGCTTGCTTTGTGTGTCGTGTACCTTGGTTCAATTCTGTGCACCACACATCCTCAATATCTTCTCCCTTCCACCCCTAAATTACCTTATTTGGTTGAATCACACTTTTGCTATCAGGTATAGAGGTGTTTTGACAGATGCTTTCTGAATATTCAGGAATAGGAAGTCTTAACTCACACAGGCTATGTAAATAAGAATGTGCATTTAAGCTCTTAAATCGCAAAAATAAATTTGATGGTCTGTTTAAGGTATTAGCAATTTTATATAATTTTGAAATTCCATTTATATATACATAGTAACTTTTTACTGATGTTAGTTTACTTTCAGGTTTAGGTATGCATGACTTTGTATTGGTCATTGTTCTCTAAGTGATCCAGTATGATTAAAAGAAAAGGTGTAGGGGTCAGAGAGATACTAGGATAGCCTCCTGCCAACCAGGGTCCAGTTCTTAACATCTCAAATGGTCCCTCAACCACTGCAGGAGTGATTTACAAGTGTAGAGCCAGGGATAACCTCTGAGCATTCCCAACTGTGACCCAAAAACCATAAAGAAAAAAATTGCATGAGCAATTTTTTTTGCTTTTTGGGTCACACCCGGTGATGCTCAGGGGTTACTCCTGGCTCTGCACTCAGGAATCACTCCTGGTGGTTCTCGGGGGACCATATGGGATGCTGGGAATTAAACCCGGGTCTGCCGCGTCCAAGGCAAACACCCTACCCACTGTGCTATTGCTCCAGCCCCTGAGCAAATATATTAGAATCTATACCATTTGACACTGGGAAATAGATTACCAAAATAAAAAAATTGAAACAGTAAGTGTTGGTAAGGAAGTGGAGAAATTGAATTGTCACATGTTTTTGGTGGGAATGCAAAAATGTGCAACTGCTTTGGCAATTGGTTAATTTGCAAATGATTAAACAGAGATTTATCATATGACTAAGCAATTCCATTCCAAAAGTCCTCAAATACCTGTGCACAGATATTCATGGCAGCATTATTTATTATACAAAGGTTGAGAAACAGTCCAAGTGTTCAACACATGAATGAATACAATATGATCTAGTCATATAATGGAATATTATTTAGCCACAACAAGGAAGGAGTTACTGGTAAACGGTACCTAACATGGATTGATCTTGAAAATGTGTTGAATAAACTAGATCAGAAAGACCATATAATTATCTCATGATCCTATATATGTAAAATATCCAAAATAGGGAAATCTAGGGAGGCAAACAGTAGTAGTAGTTATTTTGGGCGTGGGGCAGAGAAGGTGGGGGAGTAACTAGTAGTTAAATGGTTTTCATTTTGAGCTGATGAATTAGAATTTAGCAGTAGAGATGGTTCCACAGTATTGTGATAAACATACTAAGCTCAGTGTTTTACATTTTATTTATTTTGATTTTGGGGCAATACCCAGCACTGCTTAAGGTTTATTCCTGACTTTGAGCTCAGGGGTAACTCTTGACTGTTGCTCATATCAGGTGACAGGAATTGAACCCGGATCATAGCGTGTAGGGTATTACACACATGCTAGATGGGTCAGCCACATGCAGACAAGCACGTTACATGCTGTACTGTCTCTCTGGTCCCAGTATTTTACTTCCTTATATTCATATAAACATCTGGGGGGAAAATCAACTTTTAATTTTAAGTTTATAAATTTTCAGGGGATTAAGGGAAAGATTGTGGCCATATTCAGCGCTGCTCAAAACATATTTTTGGCTCTCTGCTCAGGAATACTGCTGGTGGTGCTTGGGGGAATCTCATGTGGTATCAGGGATCAATTTGTGTTGGCCATGTGTAAGGCAGGTGCCCCTTAACAATCCCCGTGCTATCTCTCAGGCTTGTTGGAGCTTATAGATTTTTAAGAAATTTTAGGAGAGCTGCTATGATCTATCTGTGCATCCAAGGGTCTCAGTGTTTATTGATAATTTCCATTTTCATACAGAATTAGGTTATATTAATGTTTTCTACACTTTGGTATTCAAGATGATTTTAGGTACTATTTCCTAAAATACCTGAAAGGAAAAAAGGTAGATTTAAAGAAAAATAGATATAACAGATCATAGTGATTGAAAGTGGGCTGGAGCGATAGCACAGCGGGTAGGGCGTTTTGCCCTGCACACGGCCAGGGTTGGCGGGCCCAAGTTCAATTCCTCCACCCCTCTCTGAGAGCCCGGCAAGCTACCGAGAGTATCTCGCCCCCATGGCAAACCCTGGCAAGCTACCCGTGATGTATTCGGTACGCCAAACACAGTAACAAGTCTCACAATGTTACTGGGTCCACTCGAGTAAATCGATGAACAACAAGACAGTGACAGTGATTAAAAGTATACATTGCAAAAAAAAAGTATATATATTGCTAAATTCATAATGTATATAGGAAGTAAATGAGAAGTTTTAGAAAATTTGGCTAATCCTGAACAGATTTTTTTCCCCCTGAGCTCAGTTTAGATTCTGATTCTCAAGTGAACTGTACATTTCATTCATTAGTGGCTGGCTGTAAAGGGAGAGTGGAAAAGTGATTCTTACTTGTGATCTTTTGTCTGTTATCTTAGCAAAAACGGATCCTAAAAAAGAAGAAGAAGAAAAGCGAAGGATTGAAGCCCGGCGAGAGAAACAAAGGCGCAGAAGAGAAAAGAACAGTGAGAAATATGGAGATGGATACAGGTCTGTGCTTAGTAGAGTCAACAAATTATGTTTATTGAAAGATTTCCTTGACGAAGCAGCTTAAAAGGAATGTGAAAAATTTGATTGATGTTTTTATGAAGTGAAAAAGGTCACTTCTGTAATGGCTTGGCTCTCTGAGAGGGAAGGGGGAATCGAACCCGGGTCAGCCGTGTGCAAGGCAAACACCCTACTCGCTGTGTACTTCTAACTAGTACAATTAATTTAATAACTGTTTAAACAGAAAATAGAAACTGTAGGCCTGCTAAGAAACTTATCATTTAAAGAAAAGAAAATATCAAAGAATATATGAGCAATTATTACATGGAAGAAAAAAGGGAAATTATTGTGAAGTGGCTTTTGAGCTACTAAATGTATGTATGCATTTATCCAGTTCAGACGTATTGGTCATCTTATAACAGTCTTTCAAGGGGAATACTTTTGATTATACCAAGAACTCTAAGGAGTGAATTATGGTTGATTGTGTTCTTCACTGTGTAGTTTGCTAACTAAATTAGTGGTTTGGAAGCTTGAGAATGGAACATTGTGTAAAATAAGTAGTGGAGCCTCGGAATTTGATACAGCTTGGTATTTGCTTTAGCTTCTAATTGCGCTAAACTTTAAGTAGATAGCTTAGTGTAGTGTTTGCCAAAATTGGTAATACCTACACTACCCCTGGGTAGGGTGATGGAATGATCCAGGTAGAACAGTTGTAACCCTGAGTGCAATCGGGGTAGCTTTCTATTAGTTTCCTAAAGGAGGAATGCATCCCCATTCTAGGGTCACCACATTTCAACTTGTAATTATTTCCTTTTACTTCATGTGGCTCTCACCTCTTCAGCAGCCTATGTTCTCTTGAATACGTTTCTTTTGCCCCTCCCTCATGTTTCCTAAATTATTTTACTCCCTTTCCCTCCTCCCCAAGGAAAAAGAAGATAGAGTTCCATGGGCACCGAGTAAATTTTTTTTCCCCTGAAAGTATATAATAAGTTAGATTTGGGAACCTCTGATTTGGTACTACACTAAGCAGTAGTTTATTGGCTTTATATTTGTAACTAGTCTCTTTAGGGTGGGCCAGAAATGCAGAAATGCAGTAGTTTATTGGCTTTATATTTGTAACTAGTCTCTCTAGGGTGGGCCAGAAATGCAGTGTTTCTAAATAGATACCTCAGGGTTTTGTGGTTTTTAATGTTAGCAAAATTTAAGTCAGCTTAAGTCTTAGAAGAAAATCTTTCATGCTGGTAAACTCAGTTTCACTGATAGATGCTAATGAGTTCTTTCTAAATAAGTTGATATTTAGGAAACCTTTCATTTCCTTACAGAATGGCATTCACGTGCTCGTTTTGTAAATTTCGGACATTTGAAGGAAAGGATATTGAACTGCATCTGGAGAGTCCTTTACACCAGGAAACACTAGATCATATTCAGAAACAAACCAAATTTGACAAAGTAGTTATGGAGTTTTTGCATGTAAGTAGCCATTTGTTTCAAGTAAGTACTTAGTCTGCTGTTGGATGTCTCCTTTTTTTGTTTGCAATCTTTGCTCACTTCATGTTTCTAAAAGTTTAATTTGCTACTTAGGGAAATTGATACTTATATTCAGCCCTAAATTAAAAGTAAATTCCTCTGTAATAGAATTTTTTCTTTTTCCTTTTGTCTCCAAAGCAGTGCTTAGGGGATCCTAGCAATTTTTGCCATTGACGCCAGTACACAGTTCAGTGAGAGGACCTGAGGATGCAGTTCCATTGACTTGACTCCATGTAAAGTAGGGGATTGAATTCAAGTCATTTTGCATGGCCTCAATGCCTGTACTATCTCTCTGGCCTCTCTGTAGTAGGATTTTTGAATTCATTTATTTGAGAAAATAGCAGAGGTAGTTTATGAAGAGGTATCGGGGAAAAAAGTCAATTACCCAGCAATAGAATATAGAGTATAGAGACTTTAGAGTACTTGATGTTAATGCTGAATATTTTCCCAATTTTATTTGAACTTGTAGCAACCTTTTTTTTTTTTAATTATGAAAGATTATTTTTCCGCAGCTTTGACCTGTAAATTTGTGGCAGTTGTCAGTGTGCTTGATATTGATCAGAATTATTTGTGTTATTAGTGTGGTCATGTCTTCTTGAATATTTAAAGGTACTATGTCAGGTGTTATAGACACAGACTCTATCCTGAAAGAACATGATTTCCAGTTGTGGCCACTGTAGAGTTTGTATGTTCTGTTGGTTTCTGCATGGTTGTTTCTGGACCCTGGTTTCCTTCCACATCCAGTTTCTTTATCAATTAAGTCTGCAGCAAAATTGTAATACACATTTGTTTCACTTAAGATGATATCCCAAGAACCTACCAATAGTGTTAAATGAGGATTTTACTGTAGTTAGAAATGGAATGCATTCATATCTACAAGGAAGACATTTAAGTGGAGCTCCAATAGCATTTGTAAACAATAAGGGTTTGTAGAAAGGGAACATAGTTGAGACACAAGATATGGAATTATTAGAAGTGGTTTAGAAAAGTAGAATTGTCAGAAATAGAGTGATTATTCTTTCCTTAAAAAATTGTGTGCCTTAATCAAAATTCCGTAATTTTGTTTCTTGGGGGCTGGTCAAGCAGTGGGGATTTTGAGTCACACTCAGTGGTGTTCAGGTGTTACTTCTGGTTCTGCTCACGGTAACTCCCAGTGGTATCTCTACAGCCTCATAATTTTGTTTCTGAACTGATTGTGATCTCTCACTTGATATTTAAGTACTCGCTTGCCCTGAAAAAGATCTCTAGAACTCTCAAATAAATTTGAAAAGTGAATACTTGTTGCAGTCTTAGTATTTTATATCAGGGTTTACTCCTGACTCAGTGCTCAGGGATCACTCCTGACAGGGCTCAGGGAACCCAGTTGGCCATATGCAAAGCAAAGCCCACTTTACCTCCTGTCTTACAATAGACTTTTCAATTAAATTATATTTCTTGAAAATAGTTGTTAGTCCTTCTGTAACAAATGCTTTTATCTACCATATGCTGAGCATGATGCTAAACATGTAAGGGCTCACTAAAAACTTCGATTTTTACAAATTTGTTTTCTAGGAATGTATGGTGAATAAATTCAAGAAAACATCTATTCGTAAGCAACAGACGAATAATCAAACTGAAGTAGTAAAAGTAGTAGAAAAGGATATTATGGAAGGTAAGTAAAAAATACTTGAGAAATTTACATATATGATACCGACTAGAGTGATATGTATGTAGTCGTGTGTAGTAGTCATGAAAAAAATCAGTCATGACTTCCTGATGTTTTTTTTTCATAATTATCGATTCATCACTACATATATTTAGATCTTCAGTTGTGGGTGGGGGGAGGTAACACAGGTTTTCCTCTAATGTTGGGGAACTAGGGACTATTTGGATATTAATAACATTAATTGTAGGGCCTATTTTATATATTTATATATATACATACATACGTATGTATGGGTATGTATATATCAGCTGAAGAGTCATAGGCAGCGAGTGAACATATGCTTGTCTTTCTTCTGAAGTACAGAGCCAGACCTTACGATTTCACAACTCATGGGTCAGATGTTCCCCACTTCTGCTCAGGATGGGAAAACACTTCTTAACCCTTCTTACCTCCCTCGGAACTTTTTTCTTATTTTAAAATCTATTTCTTATAACTATGTCTTTGACACTTCTGTTTTTACTTATTTTTGTTGGGGACAGGTCGTGGGTGTTTGGCCCATACTTGGAGATACTTAGGACCTATTTTGGACCCTTCTCTAGTGACCCCTGGCAGTGCTTGTGAAACTATATGCTGGGGCTGCTGTATGCAAGGCAGGGGAAAGATACCTTCTCCTTGTACTGTCTTTGCTGTTACCTTTTTTTATTTTATTTTTTTGCTTTTTGGGTCACACCTGGCGATGCTCAGGGGTTACTCCTGGCTCTGCACTCAGGAATCACTCCTGCAGGTACTCAGGGGACCTTTTGTAAGTTCACTACACTAATGTTTTCTATATTTCCTTGCCAGTTTTATTTGTATTTTTCTTTTAATGTCAGGTTATGGATATATTTCCCAAATTAAGCTCTTATTTTTCCTTCAAATGAATTTATTCATACAGATTAGCATCTTTATTGGTACCTGTGTTTGTATCTCTGTATCCTAGCATAGATCTCTTTTGAAAACTAGAATCTCTGAGCATTTTAGCAGTCCTACAAAATTCGTATATTTAAAAAAAATTTTTTTTTTCTCTTTGAATGACCTACTCCATAAAGAAAATAAAACATAAGTTCAGCTAATACTTGGTTTGTCTTAGAAAAGAGTCCCACTATCAAAGCTGGAAATTTGACATTAATCCTGAGTACTTACTCTTTGGTAGGTCTTGTGGGTTTTGGCTATACAATGAATGCCTGGGAGCCACTCCAGCTGCCTGGACTTGTTCCTGGCTGTGCTCAGGAAGCCATCAATGGTGCATGCAATCAGACTTGGGCCTCCTGCATTTGTTCACTGCCTTTGAGTTTTTTCTCTACTCCCTGAGTATTTGTTGTATCCTATCAAATCTTTTTTTGGGGTCACAACTGGCAATGCACAGGGGTTGCTCCTGGCTCTGCACTCAGGAATTACCCCTGGTGGTGTTCAGGGGACCATATGGGATGCTGGGAGTTGAACCTGGATTGGGCGCGTGCAAGGCAAATGCCCTACCTGCTGTCCTATTGCTCCAGCCCCCCTATCAAATCTTTTATAAAAAATAATCAAGTTTGATTTTTTTCTCTTCTATTTAAATACATGTTTTCGGAACTGTCTTTTGACCATTATGTGTTTCTATTTCTTTTTACTAAAGTAATTAGCATTGCATATAACATGTTCTCTTTATGCATCACTGAAAATCAGTCTTGGTATGTTTTGCCATCAATTTGACCACCAAAAGTCCAATTCTAGTCAGTCTTACCTTTAATTCCATTCTATGTTTTCATTACTTCAAGAGTTTTCAATGATTGGCAATCTCTGCACTTTAAAACCCAGATTCCTTGACATGGCATACAAAGATGTCCATTATTTATATATATTCTTTTTTCACTATTCATTAGGTCAGAACTGGTGGTGCTCAGGGTTTACTCCTGACTGTTCAGGAGTCATTCCTTGTGGTTTTCAGGGATCAAACCATGGCTAGGGTCTGCTATTTGTAAGGCTAGTGCTTTAATCCCTGTCCTGTCTCTTCCGTCTCCCGGGTATACCTTTATGTCTCCACATACATAAACTTTGATCAGCATTTTTAGATAGAGAATATTATGTTTTTAAATGTGATTTTGATATATTTTTTCTTGTTCTTGCCCACTGATGGTTATATTGATTGATTTTGTTTCACTCAAAATTCAAATTTCTCCCTCTGTATAATAATTTGGCAGGATGAACCTAGAGACCTCATAGACATGAATTAGTAATATGATTAATAAATATAGCAATATACCTTATAATTTTACTATTTATTATTTAATTAGTGTATAGAGATTTGTCGAATGTGATAGAAAAACCAAAACCGACACACTGATTTGGAATTGTATCTATGAAAAGGAAATGATATAATCAGAAGAATATAGGAATCATTGTCCTTACTAATAATTGGATTTCTTTTGTAGGTGTTACTGCAGATGATCATATGATGAAAGTAGAGACTGTTCACTGCAGTGCTTGCAGTGTGTATATCCCTGCTTTACATAGTTCAGTACAGCAACATTTAAAATCTCCTGATCATATTAAAGGGAAGCAAGTAAGCTTTGATCTGTTTTAAATGACTGAATTATTTACCAATCTCGTGGCCATTGTTTCATATCTCCCTACTTGTATATAGTCCTATTAATCTCATGTGAATATAAAGAAGACTGCAAAGCATTTTAGCATAGTGGTTAAGATTATGAACAATGAAGTAAGACTGGGTTTGATTCCTAGCTTAGTATTTAACGTAAGCAAGTTAGCTGAAAAATGGGAGTTTGTCTTTTGTGATATGGACTTCGTAAGGAATTAAAATAAAACATAAAAAGCATTTTAAAATAATGCCTGAAGTAAGCATTCAGGCTTACTTAAAATAATGCCTAAAGTACACATTTGTAAATTTGTTGAACTGTTCTATTTATGATTTAACATTTTAAAATAATGTTTTTTAAATTTCAGGCACTATGATACACAATACTATTAATGATAGGGTTTCACGTATAGAGTGTTCCAACCCCATACCCTCTTTCTGATAACCCATTTAAAAGTTGGTACAAACTGGTTTTATGAGTAGGTATGTATTTTCCTGTGTTTCAGAGCAAAAAGAATATAGATACACAATGAAGAAAAAGCATGCATCAGATATCTGGAAAACTAAGCAGGATTATCAATTAACTATTTTCATATTATAAAATATTTTATATAATCTAATATAGTTATATATTAAATAATTTATTTTATGATATGTTTAATTTATAGTATACAAAATAAAATGATCTATATGTAAATATTTAACATGTAAATAACAGTATTCTGAGTAGAACTTATTAAGAATTGTAGAGAAACTGGTGTTTTTATTTAGAATATTCTTGCTTCTATTTTGATTGTCCTGTACCACTGTCCTCCTGTTGTTCATCGATTTGCTCAAGTGGGCACCATTAACATCTCACAACAAATTGTGAGACTTGTTGTTACTGTATTTGGCATATCGAATACGTCACGGGTAGCTTGCCAGGCTTTGCCGTGCGGACAGGATACTCTCAGTAGCTTGCTGGGCTCTCCTAGAGGGGTGGAAGAATCGAACTTGGGTTGGCTGTGTGCAAAACAAACATCCTACCCTCTGTGCTATCGCTCCAGTCTCTATTTTGATTAGGTTTATTAAATTTGTTTTGAATTAGAAAAAGGTTTATAGTGTAGGTAATTTGACAGGCAAATTTCAAAATTGAAATATTAGGGGAATATTTAAACTTGAGCCTTACATTCAGTCTTAAATTTATAGTTGTATTGATATGAGCCTCATTAAGCTCAAGACTTTTTAAAGCTTCTATGAACCTATATAACCTTTTAAAAATCTTTCTCTTTTTTTCTTGACATTTTTGAAAAATTTGATGCTATTTAATATTTTCTCATGTAATACAGTCTTTATGATAACTGTACCTAGGGAAAGATAAATCAGTCAAACAGTGCGAAATAGGCTTCCTTTTTTGATGGCATGAAAGTTAATAGTTGGAATAATTGAAATTGGTGGAGGTGGATATAGAGTAGAAAGAAAAGAAAGCAATTGTTAAGGAGATGCAGACTTAGTATCTGGTGACATTTCTGTTGAAATTAATCCGTTCATTGAATATTTATATGATTTTTGTGCTAGCCATTCTCGGCGACTATGCAGTGCCAGGAATTGAATCCAGGTCTTCTGTATGTATGTAAGGCATATACTCTAGCCCATTGAGCTGTTGTCCTGGCCCCTGAATTTTTCTTGTTTAAAAAACCATAGATTATTTAGATTGTGGTTACAATTCTGTTGAATACTGTACGGTTTAATTTGCTAGAAAATATTTAAATTTGGGCTTTAAACATACAATTTTTTTTATAAATTATGGAAATATTTACATTGTATGGTTTCAATATCTTTGTGTTTTTGCATAGACTTATAAGGAACAAATAAAAAGAGAGAGTGTCTTGACTGCTACCAGCATTTTAAATAATCCAATAGTGAAGGCACGATATGAACGTTTTATTAAGGTAAGATTTTTGGGTAAACATTTTAAAAGTTGTAGTATTGTGATAGTAACAAATAGCAACTTTTGTGATATTTAAGCACAGTGTGCATTAGGGAGAGAAATTTATCATATTTTGTATATTGATAAAACTTTTTGTTTTGGGCGATGCCTTTTACTGCTTATGGGCTATTCCAGATGTGCTGGGAGAGGAGGGGCAGTCTCAGTGGTGAGGATGGGGGATTCTTGGGGCAGGGGGCATTATTATTCTCAGTGGTACTCAGCAACCACAAGGTGCAGGGGATCAAACTTGGAACTCTTAACATATAAAACATGCACCTCAGGCATTTGAGTTACTTCATGGACCCCTTTTTTTTTTTCTAACTGTTGGGATTTGTATGGGGAGGAAGCAGTAAACCGTTCCTCTCTCATTTGCTTTTTATTTCTGGATCATTTTAGATTAGAATAGGAATCAGATAGATCATGGAATTTTCAGTTTTATTCTTGATTTAAGATAAAGGTTGCCTTGTAGTGATATCTCTTAGGTCTGTTATTATTTTGAACTGTTTAATATTTTGCTCCTAATCTCTCTAACCTCTGTTATTCATTCAAGTGGATACCAACTAGGTTATCACTGTTTACCAGTGGGCGTAGTACAGAATGAAATGCACTCTTTCTGTTGCTGGAAAATCTACAGTAGGGCCCAGAAGGGACTAAATTGTGCACTTCATTTTTTCTAACATACTAAATGAGTAACTACTCCTTTCATGAATAAAATCAGAGAACAAGGAGGACGATATCAGATTACTTTAGGAAAACACACACATGGAATTTAGAGAAAGAGGTTTGTCCCTAATGACAGGAAATCCCAGATATGAACTAATAGGTTTTCCTCACCTACTGCTTCTTGGAACTTTTGTCACAAATTGTGGTTTCACTTCTTAACATATAAAGTACCAATTTATATGTTGTGAACACTGTACAAATAACTCTATTTTGGGGGTCACCCACATCACAACCTGGGATGTACAGTTCCTTTATTTTAGGGCTCTTTCTTCCTGGGGGTTGCCCATATCTCATTATGAGGTATACTTTTGGCTCCTTTCCTTCCGGAAAGGCCTGTGCTCTCAACTTTCTCTCCCGCTCCTTAAATCCTTAAATACTTCCTAAAATAAGACCATTAGAGAAAAATTATTCAGAAAAAGTGAATTTTATAGCTCTGTTTTAGTCTGTAAACTAGCTCAACCCTACACTGGGGAGACCTACTAAGTTGAAGATTTACAGTCTAATAAATACTAATCGTACAATAGTTAAATATTAATATTTAATTTGGGGGCCATTGTGATTAACAATGTGATGACAATGTGATTAACTTTGTGAAATCTGATGTATGTTTAGCAATCATTGAGTTAATTCTCAATTCAGCAATACCCAAACTGAGTTAAATCTGTATTGCTATTTACTTGTTCCTGTGTTTTGGTTTTTTTTAATTGGGGCCACATCTGGTGAGGTGACCACTCTTAACTCAGTGCTCTCAGCAGTGCTGGAGATTGAACTTGTACTTTTGAACCTAAATGTACAAAGAACTTGAGCCACCTTCCTTAATAAATTATTCCTTTGAGCCTACCTTCTTTTGTGGAGTGGTGGGACAGGGTGGTATCTACCGAGCAGCACTCAGGGAGTCAGGGGTGGGCCACATGATTTAATTCAGTCCTCTTTGTGCCTGGAGGAGATTGTAGGCCATGTGTACGGATTTAAGCCTTGGGTTCTTGTGCATGCCTGAGCTACCTCCCTGATCCCTGTTTTTTGGGTTAACTATATTTGTCATCTCATGCAATTTTATTGTTGTTTTGGGTCTCCTGGGTGGTGCTCAGAGGTCCAGGAACCTTACCAACTATTTGGTCAGCTGGTCCAGGGGATCAGTGCAAGGATTGATAAAATGCTGCTCAGGTGCTTCTGTGGTCTCAGCGTTACATGGGCCACTCTTGGCAGTGCTGGGGTGCCTTTAGTATATTTTAGTTTATTTTGGGCCACATCCAGTGTTGCTTTAGGGCTTACTCTTATCTTAGCTCTGTGTTCAGAGATCATCCCTGGTCTGGTGTTCAGGGATCTATATGGAGTGCTGGGGAGTGAACCTGGATTGGCCACATATAAGGCAAGTTCCTTATCTCCTGAATTATCTGTCCATCCCTATGGCATATTCTCTCTCTCTCTCTCTCTCTCTCTCTCTCTCTCTCTCTCTCTCTCCCTCTCTCCCTCTCCCTCCCTCTCTCCCTTTCCCCCCCTTCCCTCTCCTCTCCTCGTTTTGGACTCATACCTGGCAATGCTCAGGGGTAACTCCTGACTCTGCTCTAGTGGTCCCCAGGGGAACCATTTGGGATGTCAGGAGTCAGCTTCGTGCAGCGTCCTACCCGCTGTACTATCATTCTGGTCCCCTACTTGATAAAATTTTTTTTCTAAAGTGAATGCAAACTTAATTGAAATTTACTTTTATGGGAGACAGGATATCTCAAAAGATCAGAGCGTTATAGCTAAATCAAGAAAAACCCAATTTTTCTCCCTTGGATGGTATGTGAAAGAGAATGCAAAGTAGAATTTCTGGGTAGGGTTTTCAAGATACATTTTAAAAGTCAAAGTAAGGCAAGATATATAATAGGCACATTTTTCTTGAGGTTTTATTTTCTTTTTTTCAAAAAGATCTTTTTTTTAAAAAATTTATTTCATAAGGTGTTTCACAATATTTGATTACATTTAATATTCAGACACCAATCCCATCACTGTATTTAGGATGTTTCCATCCCAAACCCCCAATCCCTGTCCCAGAGCAGAACCGAAATAATGTATTTTGTATTGTTTGTTATGAAAAACCGTTGAAAATGCTACCCAAAAGTATCCATAGAGGAGAGTGTGAAGATTGTTCTATTTTGACCCACGTATTTTATTGTATGTATATGTGATTTTAGAAAATCCGTTTAGAAAAAAAATGGCTTCGGACATTGTAGTTTATGATTAAAGTGTAACGACAATTTATATATTGGTAAGAAATAGATTACTATTTATCAGAAATTCAACATCAAAAAGTTTTGCTGATATATTTTGGTTTAGGGTCACACCTAGTGTGGCCATGGTGTTGCTCATGAGCTTCTCTAATATAGTGCACGCCTTTGTGGTGCTGGGAATCAAATCCATGCACTTGCATGCAAATCATGTACTCCTGCCCATTGAGCTATCTACCAATCCAAAAATACATTTTTTAGTAGTACAGCTAATAAACTATTGGTGATGAAAAAATCTTTTTTTCCCTTTTCAGGGTGAAAATCCGTTTGAAATTCAAGATCATTCTCAAGATCAGCAAATAGAAGGAGATGAGGAAGAGGAAGAAAAGATTGATGAAGCTATTGAAGACGAAGATGATGATGAAGAAGTTGGAGAACCAGAGGAAGTGGAGGAAGCAGAAGAAGGGGGAGAAAGTGGAGTTGAGGAAGTGGGAGACATTCAGGGAGTGGGTGGGGACACAGAAAAGGTAGGGGAAGAAGCTGCAGCAGAAGGAGATGAGGGATTGGAGGAGGTCAAGGAAGTAGAGGAAGCAGCAGCAAAGGAAGAACCTGTTAGTGTCCCTGTTGATCAACCTGAAGAAAACTAATATGATACTAGATTTAAAGAAGCTTTAAATTTCTGCCCTAATGTTGAGAATAATAAGAATTTTAATAGTTTAAAAATACGAGTTCACACCCATGTTGCATGCATTCCACATTAAAATTTGTTTTATATAATTTCTAAATGTTTGGCATTTGTTTAATAAAATGAGGTAAGACAGTTTCAGTTTTTAGTTTTATAGGTACCAAACTTAGATTCTGCAAATTGTTTGTATAATTTTTAAGCTTAATTTTTATTAGTTTATTGGTGTTAAGGGTAACAGATGTGTATTGTTCGTATATCTACTCTAATCATTTGAACTTGAACTTAAATGCTGCTCTTGGGGTATACAAGTGTGCATTAATGTTTTGAATACTTACCCTAGAAGAGATAAATTGGGCAAGTATTGTGCTCCGTGTATTTTTTTACTGCTTTGGACATTGAATAGTAATTTGCGTTAAAATACGCTTAAAGTCTTTTTGTGACCATGTTTCCCCTTTGTAGCAATAAAAGTGTTTTTTACAGAAAAAACTTTTCTCCCTGGATTAGAAATTTTAAATCAGAATTCATCAGTTAAATGAGATTTAAAATCAGGATTTGCCTTAATGCATGAATTCAGCTCACAAGTATTTCAAGATGATTGGGAAGACTTGAATTACAGAAAAATGATCTCAATCATATTTTTTAAAAGTATGACTAAAATATTTTTCTTAACATTTCAAATGTAGGTCAGTCTAGAACTCACCTGTTTTTACTTGTTTTAATTCCTTTTCTCTCCCTGTATCAGATCTTGAAGTCTTTTAAAATACATTTGAACACAATTTTTCATGGTTGTGTTAGTTTTCTTGTCATGTTTGTTTTTGGTTGAAGAACCAAATGACCATTTACAAAAGAATTATCTCAAGTAGATCTCTCCTTTTTGAATTTTTTTGTGGCTCATATGCTTACATATTCAAAAAGAAAAGATAAGATGATGGATAAAACCCATCTAGGTCACTGAAAAGCAGTGTTCTTATTTCTTCAGATCTTGATTCTTTAGCCTCTTTTTGAGAGAGGGTACTTTTTCAATGAAAAGAGCTTCTCAAAATTTTGAGACCTCACTGGTTACATCTATGGTAACATTAAATAATTTTGAGACATTGCGTGGGTAGATGTACAAGCATTGTAGAAGTTCACAGGTAAATTTTTTTTTTGCATGTAAGGAGATTTTTGCTCATTAAGGGCTTATTGTTTTAGGCTAAATGTTCTCATCTATCAGCTGTGAAAAAAACAAGCATTTATCTAATTGTCAGAATTTGGAGCAAAGTAAGAGGAAGTTAGTTGAAGATGGGGATATTTGGATTCTAACTAGGAATCTATATTTAACAGGCTTCTGAAAAGCCTCTTTGCTCAGGAGTGTAAATTTTAGGACTTGATCAACTCTTATTTCTTATTTGTCAAAGGGCCATGGTAAAGAAAAGATGCTTTGGGGTTAGAATTATTGGGCTCTTTTGTCATGAAATACTTTTTTCCCCCTTAAGAATGTCTTTAGTAAATTGAGATGTGAAACTTTTGAAAAGAATTTAGTATGATACTGTGCAACAACTTCTAAGCAAATGTTTTATAGAATGAGATAGAAAACCATAAGTAGTAATTTTTGTGGGAAACTTGTTGAGAAATCTTTATTCAGACTAGCCTATCTGCAAGGTATTGAAATGTATTTTATTATTGTGCTTAATTTAGAAATTTAAATTTATGTATATTCTATTTGACCATTTGTAGCTAGTTTAGTTTGTAGGCAAATTAATTTTTGTGATCCTAGCATTTATATTTTCAATACTTTTGTAATAAGGATTTATGTAAGACCTTCAATAACTTGAATTTCTGTTATCCAAGTATTATTTGTTTTCCTTATTAAAAATGTATAGTGCTGATAGCCAAAGAAATTTATTTGCAATCTACACAGTTAAGGCCAGGTACCTGGAGACGACTGTACATTTCCTTTGCCACCTCCACCCTCAACAGTTTTTCAGGAAGTGCATGTGTTTTCTGTCTTCAAAACTTACCTGTCTGTTTTTCTGCCTCCACTGTTACTAACCCAGATCAAGTCACCACCATCTCTGCAAATAGCTTATTAACTTAATTTTGCTTCTCTATTAGCAAATACGCTCAGTTTTCCATGTACAAGTATCTTTTAAAAGTGTAATTCGGATAATGATAGTTATCTCCTGATTTTGTAGCTGTGAAATCCAAGTTTCATGACATTCAGGCCTGATCTAGCCTTTCTGGTTTTTTTGTCATGCCATTTCTCTATACTAGTGATGCTCTGTTGAATTTTTTTTTTAAATGGACTTCTTCCTTACTTTCAGACCTTTAACTTCTGTAACCTCTAGCCATCATCTTGAATGTTGGAAAAGCTCTTTGTGTTTTTGTTTTTGGGGCCACACTGGTGCTCCTGACTTAATCCTGGCTCTGAGCTCAGGGATTACTTTTGGTGGTTCCCTGGGGACTATATGTGGTGCTGGAAATTGAATACATGTAGGCCTTGCTGTTGCTCCAGACTATAGAGAGGCTCTTCGGAGGAAGCATGATGAAAGCAGTCCTCAAATTTTTATACAGTTAAGGATTTAAGGCTACCATCTTAAGTATTTCCACCCAGATACCTCATCTTCCAGTAGTTAGACAGTTACACCCACTAGTTGCCATGTAACCCCATCAACGGCCAAGATCCAGAGTCTAAAACCAAGCTCTCGGAAGAGAACAACACAGAGTCTCGTGCCCCTGCCCCTGGCTATCCTCACAAGTGGGGGCAGCAGACTGCATTCTCTTGGGGGTGGGGGGTTGAGTTTTCCCTCTCCAACCCGAGCAAAGCCCCAGCAGCTGAAGACCTCCAGGACCCAGCCACGGCTATGCTAAGACCACTCCACACGCTGGGATGAGCCTCACGCAAGAGGAATCCAGGTGTGCAGGACCCGGGACTTGAGATCTCCAAGCCTGCTCAGTTTGTGACTGGGCCTCCTCAACTCGATCCCCCCATCTTCCAGTAGCTAGGCAGTATCACCCACCAACTGCCATGTAACCCCATCAATGGCCAAGATCCAGAAGTGCGTGGCCTCTTGTCTAGTTCTGACTCAGAGAACCTGGCAGGCTACTGAGAGTATCCTGCCCGCATATATGCCTGACTGGGAACACCTGTAAAGGGGATTAGAGGCTGCCTCAAAGGCCTCCATCCCTCTCAGCCCAGCAAGCTACTGAGAGTATCCCGCCCGCACGGCAGACCCTGGCAAGCTACCCGTGGTGTCCTTGATATGCCAGAAATAGTAGCAATGATGGTCCTCATTCCCCTGACTCTGAAAGAGCCCCCAGTATGCCATTGGGCTACACTGGCACGTGACAGGGATGAATGGAGACATTACTGGTGCCTGCTCAAGCAAATCGAACAACAGGATAGTGATCTTAAGTTTAACTAGGTATTTTTTCTTTGGGGATAGTATAGTTTTAATTGTTTTTTGAGCCACTCCTCGGTGCTGGGGGGACCAAATGGGGTGCCAATTGAACCCAGGTCAGATGTCTTCAAGGCAGCACATTGCCTGCTATACTATCTCTGTCCCCAATAAAGTATCCCAGGTGATTCTAGTGATATTTGCGAATGCATCTTGAGAATACGGACACACTCTTGAACAAGTTTATACAGTTCTCATATCAAAACAAGTTTTTCTTAAGTGTAAAAGGGAGATTTTTTCCTTAATAAGTGTAAAAGGGAGTTTTTTCATGGATTATGAGCTCATAGGCATAACGAACCACAGGGAATCCAAAAACTGAATTTCCCCTCTATTCCTCACCATTTCATTTGTATGGCTTTGCCATGAAGTCATAATTAATGAACAGTGGTTTTCTCAATATGACAGGTTCTCATTTGGTATCATTTTCGTTCTTAAACTCTGCTTTCCATCCCAGGCCTTATAACATTTAGTTTGGCATCCGTAACTGCTCCTCTACCCTTTGATCTCAGATTTTATGTGTGTGGTGTAGGGGATCAAATTCTGAGCTCCCATCTCTGTGAGGTATGTGCTCTACTAGTAAGCTATATCCACTGCCTTGTTTTAACATTTTTATATTCACTGCCTATCTCTGTAAGCATTGTGTTCCTCAGGAAAATGTTTTTTAAACAAAATAGAATTAAGTCAATGGAAAATAGTGACGGATTTGCTTGCTTCGCTCTGGCACCTGGGAAGTCGCAGTTACGAAAGATAGGACCAAGTTCCATGACCATACACACACACACACACACACACACACACACACACACACACACACACACACACACAACCTGTCTCTAAAAAAAATGCACAAACAGCATTAAGAAACCCTGATTACTGAGCTTGAAGTAGACCCTTTAAGAGATCCCAGATTCCTAAGGAATATGCACTTAACAAGCACAAAAAGCCTAAAGAGCTTGCAGGCCAACAGTGACAAGGCCATGAGTGTCCTTGCCAAGACCATATTAAAGTCCAAGCAGACAGCACTTAGCATCCTGAATCAACTGAATCAGCTCAGTCACCGTCCTACATGGCTAGGCCCAGACTTGGGGGGGGGGGGGGGGGAGCGGGGTGGCAGGGAAGGGCTTGTTCCTACACTAAGGGTAGAGCAAGTCTCACAACAATGACCCAACCAAGACCCAGGCAGCTGCTCTAGGTCCAGCACCCGCTCAAGCCCTCAGAGGTGACCAGCCTCCCACTGAGTCTCCGTGAGAACATTCTGTATCTATTTGATGGTGGAAGGACCACTGTGACTTCTGGGCTGTTGGTATGTGCCTTCCAGTGCTATTTGTACAAATAAACCCAAACGCAGGGAAAATAGTGGACAGATATGGTATGAAAAAAAACAGGTTGAAAGCCACTCTAGGGGCTGGAGCGATAGTACAGCAGGTAGGGCGTTTGCCTTGCACGCAGCCAACATGGCCAACACAGGTTCGATTCCCAGCACCCCATATGGTCCCCTGAGCACCACCAGGAGCAATTCCTGAGTGCATGAGCCACGAGTAACCCCTGAGCATCGCCGGGTGTGACCCCCCCCAAAAAAAAGCCACTCTAAGTGTATAAAGAAAAGGGGAAAACTAACAATACTTATGGACCAAATACTACATTAACTCAGTAACATCCCATATGTAACAATCATATTGGTAAGCATATGCGGATTTTAGCCATTGTTGATGAGGAAAATGGATCCTCTTCTAGATGACTGATGGCTGAATAAATTGTTTTACCATACATGGATGATAAAGTGCTAGTTAAATTATTTGATACAGCACTGTATCACTGTCATCCTGTTGTTCATCGATTGCCTCGAGCAGGCCCCAGTAACGTCTCCTTTGTCCTAGCCCTGAGATTTTAAAAAGTGCCACATTCGAGGCTCTTTCAGGGTCAGGAGAATGAGACCCATCATTGTTACTGGTTTTTGGCATATTGAGTACGCCACGGGGAGTTTGCCAGATTCTGCCATGTGGGCAGGATACTTTTGATACAGCACCACACCTATAAATAGCCTGTAACTTACTTGGGATCACAAATGTCTAATGCACATGAATGGAAAGATAACATTTTATCTACTCTAAAATGCAATGGGGCTAATTTTATTGTTATCAGAACACACAGTTTCTACAAATATCACTTGGCTTATAGAAGAATGGCATCAATTGTAAAATGCACTCCAACCTCAGGAATGATAAAAATATGAATGAAGGGGGGGGGGGAGGACATGTAAAAGCTGAAGGTCTGTGCAGCATATGTATAAGGATGGGAAATGGAAACATTCATTGGTAAAGGGAATAACCAAATATGGTATAGCCATAACAAATACTCTATTTGTATATTATGACACTATTATGAAGAATGAGAGGACTGGAATGCAGGGGTAAGACACTTTGTATGCATGTGGCCAATCCTGGTTCAATTCTTTGCACCTGGAGGCTTGATAGCTCCCACCTAGCTGAGCACTGAGCACGAAATAGCCCCTGAGCATGGCTGGGTCCAATCTGGGTCCCCCTAGAAAAATGAGTGAGATCTGTGTGTATGTTTTGACACGGAAAAAATCTCTTAAGATATACTGCTAAAGAACAGTCTTTAGATTGTTTTCGCATTTTACAGAAATTTCCCATGTGTTGAAATTATGTATTTACATAAATAGAAATTAAAGAATAATAGGAAATTAAATGTATACAAACATAGTGTTTACATCATAGAAGGGAAATAACATTGAGACAAGAGTGCACTTCATTGTTTCCCTCTTTCTGGTGTTTGTTAACCAATAAGATTAAAACCATGTATAATTTTTTTTTGGAGGGGCGGGGGTCACACCTGTCAATGCTCAGGAATTACTCCTTGGTAGTGCTTGAGGACCATATGGGGTGCTAGGTATCGATCCTGGCTGGCTGTATGTAAGGCAGGTTCCCTACCTGTTGTACCTTCTCTCCAACTCCACCATGTGTAATTTTTATAATATGTTTTCTAAAAATCTGGGAAAAGTCTGGAAGGGGTAAAATAAACACCTAGATGCCATTTGCCTGATACAGCATTCGTGAACTGTTGAGAATCCCTTTTGGGTGTTTCCCCTGTTTTGCTCAGTAGCCTGAGGAATGATTCCCCTGAGCTGCTCAGCCTGTGGTGCTGGAAGCCCCCCAGGACCGCACCTGGCAGTGCTTGGGGCCACACAGTGCTAGGGGACTGAACTTAGAACCTGGGGCATGCAAAGCATCGCTCCACCTCCTTTTAACTATCCTCCCCTGACTTCTACTTCATTTTTCTTTATACAGCCAGGCAGATGATGATACAGTTCTTGGAAGAGGAATAGAGGAAGAGCAGGTTCAAGCGAGGAAGCTGAGTCAGTTTGGGGTCAGGCTAAATTGGGATTTTATCTGTGGGTCACCGAAATGGCGAA